GGCCGCATCCATCTCTGCATCGCCTGCCGCAACGCCGAGAAGAGCGAAGCCGCGCGGGACCTCATCCTGGCCGCCCACCCCGCCGCCCAGGTCTCTACAGTGGAAGTGGACCTGGGCAACCTGGCATCTGTCCTGCGTGCCGCCCGGGAGCTCCGCTGCAGGTATCGGGGCTCCGTCCCCCACCCCGCCGAACGCGTCCGTCCGTCCTCCACCTCACCGGACCCCCCTGTTCACCCTCCGCCCCTCACCCCTGTGCTCTTCCCCATGCAGGTTTCAGCGCCTGGACTTTGTCTACCTCAACGCTGGGATCATGCCCAACCCACACGTGAACTTCAAGGCGCTCTGGCACGGTCTCCTCACCGGGTAGGAGATGTCGAGAGGACTTCGGGGTCTGGTCCGTGGGAGCACGGGGTGCTGGCAGCATCATCATGGCCAAGGCATGCCCTCGTGTCCGGGGCTGAAGACTTTATTCCCTTTCCCCACTACGACATGGAGCACATCCCTGCGGGATGCGTGGCCTTGCATGGGGTGGGCTTGGCAGCTGGGTGAAGTGCTGAGGTGCTCTGAGGCACCCTGTGCCGCTTCCAAGCCCTGGTGCGGGGCCCACTCGTGCCAGGGTAGGGCGAGGGTTCAACCAAAGCCTGTGGCACCTGGCACTGGGGGCAGAGTGAAAAGCACTGGTGTGTTGTTGGGGAGGTGGTTTGCTCTTGCTGGGTCTCCTTACTGTTGTTTTTGTTCCACTAAAGGTTTTTGTAGTTGTTCTCAGCTGCGGATCACGGTATTTTGTGAAGCTAATAATTGATGTTTATTCTAGAAGCACCGTGGGGATAAGTATCATTATTCTATAAGCAACATGGGGAAGTTGAGCTAGGGAGCAAACTTGCATTGTCTCTAATACAGTTGTTGGGGTGTTGAACATAAGATGCTAGATTGCTTTCCTTATGAGGATTAGGCATGGCCTTAGGTCTTAGCTCCATACTAGAGCTTGATTTTGTAGTCTAAACATGAAGTGGAAGAGCAAGACTTTCTTTTAATGGTACTTTACTGTGGTGAAGCGAGGGAAGGGACAAGTCTTCTCCAGTCTAGTCAGCATTGAGGTACTTGCAAATAAAGGTGCTGAGAAACTGTGTGAACTTTTTCCAGCCATTTTTTCATGGATTAATAAAGCCCTTGGAGGTGAAACTGGAGAGGCTATCTGGAGCCTGTGAGGTGGGAGATACTTTTCAAGAACTGAAGTGGGGGAGCAGTAGATACCTTCCTGCAGTGTTTCTCTCTAACACCTCTGTCCTCTGCTTCCAGGAAGGTGCTTCACATGCTGACTACTGCAGAAGGCATAATGACCCAGACGGACAGGCTTAACGGAGACGGACTGCAGGAGGTGTTTGCTACCAACCTCTTTGGACACTTTGTCCTGGTGAGGCTGTGTATGAAGATTGAGCCCTTGGTCTGGTGGTTGATGTGGGTAGGGATGGGTACAGGCGGTTCTGACTAATTAGTTCTGTCCTACGGGTTCAGAGACTGGTGCAGGCTGCAGCCTGGCAGATAGGAATGACAGGGCAAAGGTCTCGGGCTTTGTTAAAATAGCAATAAATGGTGGTAATGATTGTTGCAAGGGTTAATATAATCTTGAGGTTACTCTAGTCAGTCAGTAAGCCATACGTAGTTCTTTCTGTCCAGGGCGAATACCAAAGCTGGGCTATGTGAAATTCTGAGGTGCTCAAATGAGCTCTGTAAGGGAATGGTGGCTGCTTGTAAATGCTCCTGGTGGACCTTGGGCTGAGGTTATACTTGAGCAGCAGCTGCTTCCAGCTGGCCTAGTGAAGATTGGCCAAGACTAGGAAAGCTGAGATAAACTCGTGGCTTTTAAGAACGGCAAAGCTATACTGCAACTCTTTAAAATCACTGTCAAATAAGTTAACAATTATTTTGCAGGTTCGTCAACTTGAGTCTCTACTCTGTGGTAATGAAAAGCCCTCGCGACTCATCTGGACCTCTTCCAGCAATGCCAGGGAGTCTGCCTTCAGCCTTTCTGACTATCAGCATGCCAAGGGGCAGGAATCATACAGTTCCTCCAAATATGCTACTGACCTGACAAGTGTGGTTCTGAACAGGAAATTTAATGAGCAGGTGATGACGGGGTTTGCATGTCTGAAGAAGCCTAATGAGCTCCGACTATTTATAATTATCATTACATTGTTGTTACCTAGTTGCATTCATTCATAGCAATCTGATATGTTCTTTAATGCACATGTAAGACCTAAACACAGCTTGCTGTGGGCACAGATTTTAACATGAGCATCTCCAATTTGGACCTCTCAGAAATCACTACACCTAAGCAATGTCTGGCTCTGGTAGCTTTAGAGAGGAGAGCATCTGCTATTAGCTGGTCTCTGTACTCACCTGAATTTTCTTTGCTGAGAAGTACTAGGAGGGAAGGAGTATGATCCATTCTTAAACTAACTGTTCTATATTTGCACACTAACTTGGGTTTCTTCTTGGCAGGGTTTGTATTCCAGTGTTGTTTGTCCTGGTCTTGTTATGAGTAACATGACCTACAGAATTTTGCCAGTTTTTCTGTGGAAGCTGCTAATGCCCATCATGTGGTTGGTAAGTGGATCTTCTGGCTGGTTTTGGGTTGAGGTAGCCCTGCTTTGGTATACTCCACTGAAGTGATGTGCAGCGGGCTTCTGGCTCCTTGCTACCCATGCTGCTATACAGCTTTTCCTTCTATTGGATTGGGCAGGCTGGCCCCTCTGCAAACCCTGCCTTTGGCACCTTGGGGCACCAATTTCCAAGCTGAATTCAGAGGTTTGGTGCTGGACAGCACTGTGCATAGAGCCAGGGTTCAGCCCTTTAGCCATAGCAGCATTTGTCAAGACTCCCCTTGGAAGGTTTGCCAGCCTACTGTGGGCCTATGAAACCCTATCACTTTGGTGGCAGCAGAGCTCAGGACAGAACTTGGCCCGTGCTTTGAAATGCTGTTCATTTCTGTAACAGACCCTATATTTTTCAGTGTTCTTCTTTCCATGCCTCTAGAAGGCAGTGTCTCCTGCTCTCTTCTTTCCATCCCTCTGGAAGGAATAACCTGATGCTCTCTGTTGCCTCTTCCCCTGCTTTCCCAAAACTTTCCTTGCCTTTCTTCCTCTGGGCTTCAGCTTTTCAGGTTCACCACAGTTCTGTCCCTGAAGGCTTCCTGCTCTGAGCCTTGATGCTCTTGCTGCAAGAGTGGCCTTTCTGCTTAAGCTGCCCCAGCTGGCAGGAGCTGATCCTGACAGATCACATTTCTCCTGGCAGTGGAAAGGCAATGCCTTCTCTGTTGCCTGCAACACCGGCAGTGTTGCAGATCCTCTCTGCCTCCTGCTGTATGTGCTCCTGAGACCATTCAAGAAGAGGAGCCCACAAAGCATATGTGTGGCCCATTGCCTCTTGCTTTGCGGGTGAGCTCTGGGAGCATGGAGTGAGGCTTCCTGATCTGGTGGGTGGCTCCAGAAAACAGTTTGTGGTGTTAAAAGGATGCTTTAGTAATAAGAGTGCAGTGTTACCTGTAGTCAACTTTGAGGAGTATTTCTACTTCTGGTAGATTAATCTGGTGTGGCTGGGCTGTGGAGGGCTTGCTGAAGAAACCTTGGGCCGCAAATCCAGATTCTGTCATGTACTTCTCTTCCCCTCAGATCCGTTTTTTTGCCAAAACTTATACTCTGACACCGTATAATGGAGCGGAAGCTCATGTAAGTAGTTTACAACTTGATTTTTAATATGCCTTCCTTCTGGGTAGCTCTTCCAGGGTCTGCTGGCTTGAACAAACAGCCTCTCAGCAAGGCTGGTGGGTCGGTGCTGTATTTCCTCCTGAGGAGCTTACAGCCCTGAGTGCTGGAGGGCCAGCTGTGACCAGGGCTGATCTGCCAGGTGATGCTTTATGCCCTTCATCCGATGCCCATAAAATGAAGTGATTTTGGAAAAACACTATTCCTTCTATCTCGGGGAGAATGCTGCTGTTCCTGTTGGCAGTCAAGCAGCCATAGACCTGCAGGCACAGGGGACAGAGTTGGGTAATGCAGGGCACATCATGGCTTAAGCACAGTAGTGAGCAAGTTCAGCCATGTTGAACTGCTTTAGTGGTTTAGCACTGGGACATAAACAGGATTTACTGTTAGCTCGGGTAGGTCACAGCTGAGAGAAGCCAGCTCGGAACTTCTTCTCTAGATATCAAGTCTTCCCCTGCTTGCTGAAAGCACCTGTGGTGTGTCCTCCTGTGTCCATTGGCAGTTGGGGCCTTGACTGCAGGCTTGGTTGGGGCAGTGTGTGCTCGATCGTACACGTTTGTGCTCTTCTTCCTAGGTGTGGCTGTTCAAGCAGAAGCCAGAGCACCTGGATGCCCTTGTCAAATACCACAGCTGTATTTCTGGACTGGGGAAGAGCTATGTGGAGCCCAGAAAGGTAAATGGAATGTCAGCCTCCTCCTGCAGGGGACTTGGCTAGGGGTCTGCCATCTGCCTTGCGTGGAAGGGTTGGTGCCAAGGGCACCCTGTGGCTGGAGTGGAAACAAGATGCATGTTGAATGCTGAGCAGCAAGGAGGGATGTGGGATTATCTGTGAGGTTTCCTAGAGTAACTCCTGGCTTAGGCTGGAGTCTGGAAGACAGTGGAGATGATGGTTAGAACAGGATGAGTGTGTAATGAAAAATATGTTCTGGCTTGTTCCCTGGTGATAGATGTCTTTAGTTTCCTCTCTGTGAATGCAGAAGCTCTAGAGATGCACCTTGCCTATCCCCAGAGCTGTCCTCAGTGTCTGTGCTGGCTGCCACCAAGGTGATGGTCTCACAGGGCTGTTCTTATTGTCTTCCAGATGTGTGTGGATGAAGAAACTGCTGAGAAATTTTACCAAAAGCTGTTGGAACTGGAGAAGGAGATTCTAGAAAGATATAGTGATCTCTTAAGTTAAGCCAGTCTCAATAGGATAACAGTCTTGTGTTGGTAACATGGGCTTTCTTCATTCTGGTGCTATTTGTGTTGCCTGCTGTTCTGTAGGCACGTGACTTCAGATCCTGTCTTCCTTCTCGACAGAAGCTGAACAGTTCCTGAAAATGGAAATGTGAAAACTGAAGAGAAATACGTAGTCTTTTTGGTATGGGAAATTTTTCTGATATAGAACTGGAGACCTAGAGTAGGTGTCTTAACGCAGTTGCAAAGCAGTGTCTTGCAAAAACACGACTGGATTGTGCACAGTTCAGGAACAGCTTCAAAACAGGGTTTAAAGTTGGCTTAGTGCAGGAGAGGCAGCAGTCTGGGGTGCTGCCCTGCATCTTGGATCTTCCAGTCGTTCTAGATGACTCAACATTACCTGTGGCTGATCCTGAAGTACTTGAAGGCTTATCTTCAGAGCAGCTGCTTGTACAGCAAAGTTGGAGCCAGCTTTCCAGACATGCTGAACAAGATTGAACCTTACTGGAAGTCAGGCTCTGCACAGCATCTGAAGACAAGCCTCCTGAAGAGCTGGCCTGAGATGTGCACCCCTTGCCTCAGCTGTGAGGATAAATGCCTTGGTGTCCCTTGAGTATGGGGCCATAAAAGTTCTAACCATGACTGGCTGGAAAGACTGAAGCTGCTGATGATAACCTGGTCTCAGGGCTAGTTTGTTCTGTTTGTAGCAAGAGTGAGAGGTTACAATGTTATTTTATCTATTTAACTCTTTTTATATATAAATCTACTGTACCAAGTATTCTTCCTGTTGTTTCCTGGGGAACTTCACCAAGTAACTGGTGTACTTCAAATGCTGCAATGAATAAATTACTGGAACGGACTTGTCCTTGCTGCAGTGGTGTTTTTACTCCAATAGCTGTCTGCTTTTGACTCACAGGGCTGGAAGGGAGGTTGGTTTGTTGCCTGGCACAATAAGGCTGTGCGTACGTGGGAAGCGTGGGGTCTCCTGCCACAGGAGAGCTGCTAAGCACCTTTTTGGGCTTACTTCTCTTATTCCTTCTAGTTAATGAAAGGCACGAGTGACTTCTGAAGACTTCAGTGTGGTTTTGTGTGTTGAGCACCTGTGGGGCGTCTGAGGCTATTTCCCAGCCTTAGGCACTTGGGAGATGGAGATGCCTCTGGTGCTTGCTCACCCTGTTGTGTCACATAATTACTGATTTAATGGTCCCCAGTAAGGGAGTATTACAGTGTGCCCAGGAGCTTCTCTGGGGCCTGGCAGAGGCCAGATGAGGTTAGGAGGGAGGCTATGCTGCTCAGCCCTGCGCCACCCCGGCTGCGGTGGAGACTCCCTGAGCTCTGGAGGTGCGGCTGTGCTGCCCAGGCTGGTGCATCCTCCTGGGGTGGCTGGAGTGCCCACAAAGAGGGCTGGCTTAGAGCTCTGTGTAGGAAACTGCAGAAGCACAGAGCTGGCATCTGGGAGAATCCAGACTCTGCAGAGTCTCATCCCGTTGTAAGGGTTACAGATTTAAAGAATCTTGCTTTTATTTTTTTTTCCTTCTTCCCACACTCCATTGTTTCTGAGCATCTCTGCAAAGTAGAGGGGTACTGCTAGCACGGTGGTGTCTGCTGCAGAAATAGCTCAGTCTTGAGTTTTGGCTGAGCAGCACCTCTCAGCTCAGCCCTCGTGTGGATACCTGAGCTCCCAGCGCTGGTGTGGATGGGAATGCGCTCTGTTTTGGCCTGAAGTTGGAACAGAATGACAAGATGTCCATTGTGGAGTGGTGCTTCCCTTGGCTATGGCTGTGGCTGTTTAGAGTTGTGAAACAGACTGGGGTGTACTTCTATGGACCTTTATTTAAATGCAATAAAGTCTGTCCTAGCACCAGCTCTGGGTGCTGTTGCTTTGTTCAGCTACATCCTGAAACCCCCTGGGGCCAGAGTCCCCCCTTTCTGGTGCCATTTCTTCTCCACAGGGAAGGAGTCAGTGGCTGGATGTCTCTTCAACTTAGCGTACTTGATCCCCATGGCATCGTACAGCAGTATTTAGCTCCTTGTTCTGGAGAGTAATTAAGCCTGTCTTATCAATTGGTTTTTAGGTGAGCATCTTGAACTTCGCTGTTCTTCTGCCCTACCCCCTCCACCTTTAGGATTCCCCAGCTATCCCAAAACCAGAGGCACTCTGTCATTCCTTATCCCTGTTCTGACTGCTCTCTGGTACTACCCCTGCCTCATTTTCTCTGTGAGGTGAGATAAATGAAATAGCAAATGTTACTCAAAACATGATCTGACGCAATGTTTCCTGAAATAAGTGCAACTTAATGGGAAGTGGAAAGGACAGGGCTCTTATGCCGAGCTGGTCACCTGTATTGTCCTGTACCAGCTGCGTTCTGGCAATGTAGATGTGACAGTCCAAGGACCTGAATGCAGTAAGGTCTGGAGGTGCTACAGGAGGTAGCTTTGAACAAGCTAGTACAGCTAGGAAAATTAAATGATTTCTGATATGCAAGGATTTTTTTAAAGCCTGGAATGAAGTAGCAAATATTTAGGGTGGGCAGAGATTGGTGATGATAGATAGGACTTTATGTTTTTTCTTCAAGTGAGGGCTTGTGGGCTGAAGTTGTGCAATTATCAGGGGAAGTTGTGCCTGATGGGATGGGGTGAGTACATTTAGCCTGTGGAGCATGAAGAGGCATGATACACCACCACTAGTTATTGAGTTATCCATGGCATTGGTGTTGAGTAAAGTTATGAATGGGTTTCTGGGCTCATCTTAAAAGCACTTTGTCACACTCCGTTGGGGATTTGGGGTTCAGGGTTAGAGGAAAAAGCATGCTTCTGTCCTGTTGTATCTGGGCACAGCCTGCTGCATGATTTACTTTCACCTGCTTGGTTGCTGTGAAGGAAGCTGATGTACTGTGATGTATGTTACATCCTGGGAGATGCAGATGTGGGATTCAGGAGTTGTGAGGGATCTGCTGCAGCATGTGGTTGGGGTAGATGCAAAGTGGTCTCTGGAAATCTCTAGCTCAGCTTCCTGCTCAAACAGAGTTACATGAAGAAGGAACAAAAGGTGCTAAAACACAAGCTGAGCTGTGGAGAGATGGGACAACCTGGAAAGATGGGATAAAACTTGTGGTTTCCAATGAGTTTGGAGCCACATGGAGCTTGAGATGCACAATTAGCCCAGGTGTCTCCAGAAGACTGCTCTTCAGTTGAAGGAGGTGCTCTAGTGTCCTACTGCACTTGTCACAGGACCCCACTGCTCTATAAGGGTTTCTGCCTGCTTTTGTGACCCCAGACATCATTGTCCATGCTCTCCTGTAGCAGGAAAGTTGGCCGTGCTCAACCTCACCTTCTGCTCCTCTCCTCCATGTTGTGAGAAGATGGACGTCTTTGCATCCTTGGGATTGTTCTGTGGGATGGGAAGCGTAACCACCTCTCAAGTTTCGTCCTTTGTCCTGAAAGCACAAGTAGGACCTGGTGCCTTGAAATGGAGACTGCCCAAATGGCAGGGGGTGGCTCAGTTGTTTGTTGCCCTCTGTGAACTTTGCCCGGTGAATCCAGCCCATGGAGTGCTGTGTCGCCTGGTTTGGCTTCCCGCCACCCAGGTGACTGTCAGCAGAGCTGGCTGACATTCTGGAGCTGCCGGTCTGCAGGGAGGGATGGCTCCTTGTGCCCTGCTCTTGGCTAACAGGTGCCTATGCATGGAGCTTAATGCCCTAGCTAATCCGTTTTGACTGGTAGGCACATTGGGGCATGAAAGCAGTAATGGAGCAACAGCAACTGGGTCAAGGAGAGCAGGCATGTACATGCATCTGTCAACCAATGTGCTCCTGTCCCCTTATCTTCGCTTGCTAAAGTAGTGGAGACACCGCTGATGCCATTGCATGAGTTGGGTGCTCTGTTGAGGTTGTGCACTGTGGGGTCGTTGAGCATTTGCACCACGAAAACAGGTCCTGCCTGCGGCCCCATGGTAGAGCTGGGGGTGATGCAAGGCAGTGAGAAATGCCAGGCGTGGGATGGGGTTAGAGCTGGCAGTGGCAGCTGTGAGTCAGTGCTAAGACAGGAGCTTTCTGTTTGTGATCCTCGGGTATGGAGCTTTCCAGAGATGCTCTAGGGCAGGTCTTGAGCATGAAAACTCATTGTGGTTGCTCTATGACATCCCGTGCGATCAGGCTGAGAGATCTAATATCCAACCATTGTTCCTCGTTCTAAGTCACCAGTTTCTTACCTTCATGGGCAAACGCATTGTCTTGTTCTAAACACAGTCCAAGTCCTCCACTGCTTTACAGCTCAGCTGGTTTTCAACTATGTAGGGCACTGGTAAGAGGAGCGTGGGTGGGAACTATAGCCCAAGCTGCAGCCAAGGGAGGAGAAAACTTGAGTTTGGTGTGGCAGGGCTGAAATCCCTGCAGCTGGGTGACCTTTGCCTCTCCAGGAGACAGGATTGCAGGAAACAACAAGGACCAGTGTGTGCACCTGTAATCAGGGGTGGATGTGATAGAGCCAGCTTGTGTCAAAACATCCAGGGTTAACCTTTGAATGGCAACTTTGATGTTGAAAGTGCTTGGAGGGGAGCTTCCCAGAGGGGCTGGCGGGGAGAGGTGAGATGTAGTTCTGAAGAGCTGGGTGAGAAACAGGGAGTGGAAACACCTCTAGGAGCATGATGGGTCTGTCTGGTAGGGAAGAGCCAAGCAAGACGTGGATCCAGTCGGGTTTCACTGAGAATGGGCAAATCGTAGAGCCCCAGGAAGTTTTTGGCTGGGAGCGAGCTCTCATACCCCCAGCCAGCCCTGCTCTGAGCAGGGATGGCCTCATGGCTGGACCAGGTAGCTCAGAGATGTGTGCAGGTGAGTTCTTGAGTCTCCAGGGATGAAGGCCCCACTGCACCCCGCTTTGCAGCTTCCCATGGGAGAGTAAGGCTGAATTGCATGAAGGCTGAGATGTTGGAGACTTGAGGCAGAAGGAATGGCCACGGAAACGGGAAAGCCCAAAGAGACGCAAGACTGCCTGCAGGGTGAGGGAGGCTTTT